AATAATTGCACAAGTAACAGACCTGCTGTAATTGCTCTCATCCTTTTGTTTTGAAATTGGGAGGCCCTGAGTTGTATAGTCGTGAAGTCTGCCAATATGCCACACAGCACGTTGCATTCTTCTGCTGTGGGTGGTGGGAATAGTTCCTCTTAACCCAATAGCATGACCCAAAAATGGGCCATTATCCATATTTTGAAGGGCTATTCTGCCAGAGTATCTGCATGACATTTAAATGCTGAGACAATTATCTTGTCTTTCCTTCCTTTTAATTTTTCAGGTTCAGGTTCTTGTCATTCAATGCTTTCCTGATGCTTCTGTGCTTCCTGGTGCCTGAAATTGCAATTCTTGACAGTGCTTCCTGCCTTTGACTGACAAGGGATGCTGTTAAAGATTTTCTCAGTCTGTCCTGTGATCTTTTCTCTCTTTCTCAATCATCTGTTTGTTCTAAGATGCAGGATTGCAGCAGGGGCATATTGTTTCCCTGGTATTATGGTAAAAAAATCCTCCAGGGATTGTTTGCGTTGTGCTTTTGCAGTTCTGTGTTACAAACAGTACCACTGCTTGGAACACTTTCAGAGTCTGAAGCGATCATCTTTCTCTAACACTGTTGCACCTATCCATATGTATATCATAATACTTTTTTAAAGCCTTGACTGTATCCCTCTAATTCTCGGGTTGCTGTCAGGCTTAGGTTTTCACTGATCTGCCATGCAAGACAAAATTGTGAGGGTTGTAGACAGTCCCACAGTGCATCACAACATTGCATTGTACCATCTCAGCATCTCAGAAACCCTGCAAGTTTTGACCACAGGGATAGAGGAAAATGCTTTCCCATTTTAAGCTAAAGATAATTTTGGGAGCCTCCTCTATTCTATATAACTTCACAATTAGGAAGATTGTGTGAACTAGTGTGAATCCTTTCGATGGCTTTCTTAATTAGAAACAGCCTGTGTAATTTTTTTAAAAATGTGTGTGTGGGAGAGGGCTTCAGGGATTCTTTTTATGTTCTCTTTGAAACACCTTGTGCTGGGTGATGCAGCTTCTCATAGTGGAGAGCTATTAAGCTTCTTCTGGGAGTCCATCAACTTACTGCACTGCTGACTGGAAGAGGCTTGTTTACCAATGACAAGTGGCACGTGCCAGGCTGATCATGCTGTCTCCCGTCACTTGTTGCTGGGGCAGTTTGAAGTTAATTTGTATTAGACACAACCAGAGACAGATTAAGATAACATTGTATCAAGAACAAAACTGTATTGATCAGGACTCTTGAAGTATTGCAGCCCATGACTTGAAATAACTGCTGCTTTTTATAGAATCTTGAGGCATTGTATATTTTCTCAAAGACTGGAGTTACCAATCGCCATTAAACTAACAAAAGTAGGACAGAGCTTGGAACACAGAGTGCAGTGTTTCTGTTAAGAATCCCCTCTGTTTTTGGATATGCCATGTTGTTTAGCCAACCAAACTAAAAACCTTCCTACTCAAGAAAGCGCTATAAATGTTCCACTACAGGAGTAAATTAACCACTTTGAGAATAAATTATTTGATGAGATGCTACATCCATTTGTGTCACATTTGCAGTACACATTTTTATATATCACAGTCTGTTTAATAGCTGTGAACTCACAAAAACTAAATTCAGAGTTGAAACTTCCAACTGCATCCTTAAGTGAGCCAAATGGGATCATATCTGGCAGCTGATAGCCTGGTTTGCATATAGTTATTAATCTTTAAAACAAAGTTTGTGCCTTTATTGCTGCCTTATGATTATAAAGAGGAGCTCTCAGTTTAAAAGAGCAAGCTTTCTGAAGGCTCAAAATACTCTCCCTGAAGTTGGAGAGAGCTGCAACCTTTCAGCCATCCTGGTCCTCCAAAAATCTGGCAAAACTCTGCCAGTACTGTGCGAGAAAGCAGGACCTGAGCTGCCTGCCTGTTCTTCTAACAAAAATCAGAGAAGTATTCTCTAAACTGTAGATTCCATTTTCATCCATCTCAAAAGGAGCAGGAAAGAACAGATTTTTTTTCCCACATCTGTGTGGTGCCATTGATTATGATGGTGTAAGTTAAGGATGGAGTAGGATTCCTTGACTCTGAATTTATTGGTGTATGGGATTTTGAGGCTAATCCTAAATGTTACTTTTTAATGTAGGGTGGATGGGAAAGGGAGGCAGAGTGTAAAGGGAAAATATTTCACTAGATTTTTTTTTCATTTCCTCTTTGGAGATGCCATCTGAATACATTTGTCCTTTGGAAGTTGAAAGATTCCTTTGAAACACTTTGCTTCAAAGTATGATTGACATAAGTCGAAATCCTTTAGCAGTTGTTTCAGGCTACACGAATTCATGCAGGTTGGTAAGAGACACTGTAAAATGGATTAGACTGATAGGAGTTCAGTTCTAATCTGGCTAAAGGGGTGCTCTCATTGAAAAGGCAGGAAGAGAGGTTTCCCTGGAAGCGTTTCACAGCCATGGCACTTGGTATCAGTCTCATGAAGGAGTGGCTACTCTTGAAAGCTTTAGACTTAGAAACTTGGTCGCCAATAATACATTTACCCTTCCGAAACAGTGATGTTTTAATTTACACTTACAAAAAGGAGAGGAGGGGGAATTGGAATCACCCAAATTTTAGGCTTGGGGAAATCTCTCTCCAAGTCCTCCTGATTTGGCCGGCAGGTGTTTCTTCCACTCCAGATAGGCGGTAGTCCTTGTACTCAGGTAAACCCTTATAAATGCTCCCTTTGTCAGGTGAGGGGAGGCAGAACTAGAATGGGTAACTTTGTCTAACACCCACCAGGAAGCTGCATTTCTCTGTGTAGGAAAGCTTTATTCAACCTTGACTAAGAAATGGATAATATGTTTCTCTCCTACAGGATCTCTTGTGATGAAGGTCCTTATTACTAACTTAATTACAGGTAGGGGATTAGTACTCCTGATTTCTTCCTTGGTGGCGGCAGTTGGCATCCCTATTGGAGAGGGCCTTAGCAGACTCCACCAAGTTCCCTATTTTGTCAAATTATTGACAAATGAATCAGTGCAAGAGTAGAGCTCAAACTATTGTATTCCCAAGGATCTGTCTCAAGTGCGCCTAGCCTAGCTTCCTATAAAGCATCCCTCATAAGTAGGGCTTCTGTTTTTCAGGGTTTTTTAATTTCATTTTTCAGGGTTTATTTTTAACAATTTTTGAGTTTTTAATGTAGATGTCCAAAATCAGGGTTTTTGGGTGGGCTTTCTTTTTGTACAGTATATGCTGTCATGTGTAATTTCTCTGTAATGTTCCCTAGTGCATTTTAATGTACTACTATTTCAAACAGCACTAGGGAACATTTTCACAGGTTTGCCTTCACAATAGGCCTGTCTACACTAGAGAAATGTGCACTGGTGGACCTGTGTAATAATTTTGATCAGTGTCATTTTGGAGGGGAGAAGGGGACAGGGATAGAGGCGAAGCTGTGTCTCTCTGTGATTCAGTCACTCCAGATTACCTGCTGGGGTCTTTGAAATGCTGCAGTTGGAAGGTGATGTTAGTCCAACGTCTTGTGGGGCTTGCTGTAGGATGTCCCTGACTTGGGTGGGATTCAAAAGAGGTTATAATCAAAAGTCTGCATCCTTTTGCAATCAGAAAATATTTTTCTTGTGAATTTTGGTGCCTGTGGAAGTGTCACACAGATAAAGGGGAAGTAATATGGTCTAGTGGTACAGGCATGGGACTGGAGGTTGGGAGAGCTGAGTTTAGTCCTGACTCTCCCACCTGCTCATTGTATGATCTTAGGTAAGTCACTTAACCTTCCTTAAGAACATAAAACAGCCATACTGGGTCAAACCAAAGGTCTGTCTAGCCCAGTATCTTGTCTTCCGACAGTGACCAGTCCCAGGTGCTTCAGAGGGAATGAACAGAACACGTAATCATCAATTGATACATCCATCCCTCCTCTGTTTCCCCACAGTAAAATGGGAATAATACTTGCCTTCCCTTGTAAGGTACTTTGAGATCTTTGGGTGAACGTTATTTGTTGCTGTAGCAGACTTGGCCTAGTCTAGTGCAGGTAAGTGCTGCATGAGCTCCCTATCCCAGATCTGTCAGTGAACCTTGAAGTCCTGACTTACATCTCTTCAGTGGCCTGCTTATTGAGCCCCAGTTATGCCAAATGAAGGCGTGGCTTTATGTTAAGTATGTGTTTGTGGGGATCACACGTTTTTCAGCTCATCCTGCACTTTCTTTTCTCCTGTTTGATGTATCACTGTACAGAATCAGGCCAACCATGTTCAGGTTGTGTCCCTTCTTGGCATCTGCCGAAGGGCTGCCTGGAGGTCTGGGTAGGGTCTTGAGGCCTCAGTGGCTTTTTGTCTCACCTGTAGAGGTGACCTGCTGCTCTAGCCCTGCCTGGTAAGGGAGACAGCGCAGTTAGGAGCAGGGAGAAGGAAGTGGCCTAACCAATAAGTTGTCCTCTCCCTGAAAGACTGATTCATGCAAAGGCCAAGAGCCCTCTGTGACACTCTGTACCTTGGGGGAACACCCAGCACGCCCATGTTCATCTTTGTAAAATGATAGTGTGGTATCCAATGCAAAGTTTGTTCCGTCAGGGGTCTTTGGAAGGCTCATGATGTACTGAGCATTGTTGTTATAGTGTTATAGTAATGTTAACTATATACATGAAATTATAACCTTTATGAGGCTGAAAAATGTATCCTCATGGCTTAAAGCAAGCCCAGACAAAAACTCTCCAGAAGCAGAGGGGCAGTTCACACATCAACAGGGCATGGATGGGACAAACCAAGCCCAGCCTCACAGGAACAATAGCCGCTGGCCTAGGCAGCAACAGAAGAATCTGTTAGACTCTCAAGGGAGGCACCCCCTTCCTTTGGTCAGTTTGGAACTGCGATGAGGTAATGCTCACCTGACTCTGAAGGGGTGGGGAGCAAAGCCAAGAGAGAAGAAAGGACATGATGAAAAAGAAGAGATATTTGCTATGCTCTCCATCTCTCTTCCACCTACATCTACAGACCCCACGCCAAGTGACTGAAATGCCGATGAAAGAGGAGATCCTTTCTGAAGAGCAACCAGCCAGCCTGTGGTGAGAAGCATCTAAGTTTGTAAGGACATTGAAAGTGATAAGGTCAGCTTAGAATGCGTTTTGCTTTTATTTCATTTGACTAAGTCTGACTTATGCTTTGACTTATAATCACTTAAAATCTATTTGTTTATTCTACCTGGAGCAGTGCATTTGGATTGCAGCATGTCAGAGACTCCCTTTGGGATAACAAGCCTGGTACATATCAATTTCTTTGTTAAATTGATGAACTCATATAAGCTTGCAACATCCAGTGGGCATAACTGGACACTGTAAGACAGAGATCCCTAGGGTTGTGTCTGGAACCGGAGATATTGGCTAGTGTCATTCGTTTGCAAGTAGCTGGGAGCAGCTTACATGCCAGAGGCTGTGCGTGAACAGCCTGGGAGTGGGGGTTCTCACAGCAGAGCAGGGTAAGGCTGGCTCCCAGAGTCAAGGATTGGAGTGACCTAGCAGATCACTGGCCCAGATAACACCAGAGGGGAGCGTCATAACCTCTTTCCTTCCTAACCACAGAAGGATGAGTAGTGAATTGGTGGGGATGAGAAGAACACTGAGTTGGGGGTGGTGAACTGGCAGAGAAGAGGGGCATGAGGGGAAGGCAAAGGGCCTAGTACTTCCCATACACGTACATGTGAAATTCTAACATGTGAACAAGAAAGTGTCTCCTCCAGAATGGAACTAGAGCCTTGTTTTGTGATGTAACCGAACCTTCCCTAGTGGCTACACTGAGCACTTCCCAAGCACTTGTGAGCAAAACTGGGTTCCGGCTTCCAGAGGTGAAAGTTTGGTGCTCTCGCTACTGCCCCCTTAGAGCCATCTCCCCAAACACATATCAGCTTAGCTGGGGAGTTCTGTTAGCTTCTGTGTTATGCAACAGTGCCTATGTGTGCTCCTGGTGTGTATGAACACATGTGTAGTGATATGTCTAGCACCCAGAAATGTGCAGGGGTAAGGCACACCACAAGCTGGCAGAGTAGACTTAGCGATAGGCACCCCTAACATTTTTCAGGGTATCAGAATGAGTTACCCCATGTGTGATCTGGGATCTTCCCAGTGTGTCCATGTGTTAATCCTGAGCTAAATTTTGAGGGGGCTTAGTGAGGCGCAAAATACAATGTGACTGCTAGCACCAAACTGTTAAAAGGAACTAAATCCCTGTTCTGGCAAGGAGCTGCTAGAAGTATTGGTCATTCCAGTGCCTCTGCATTTAAGAATAAGCCTGCACCATCTGTTGTGTTCCATACCTCGTGAATGCAGGAAGATCTAATTACATCCTGTGAGCAGTAAGTAGTGTTTGCAGCACACAAGCCAGCAGTACAGCAAGTGCAAAGTTCTTCACTTAGGAAGGAAAAATCAAATTCACAGCTACAAAATGGGGAATAACTGTCCAGGTGGTAGTACTGCTGAAAAGGATCTGGGGGTTAGAGTGGTTCACAAATCGAATGTGAGTCAACAATATGAGGCAGTTGTGAAAAAAGCTAATACTATGCTGGCTGAATGGAAGACACGAGAGGCAATTGTACTGCTCTTCTTGGCACTGGTGAGGCCTCAGCTGGAGTACTGTGTCCAATTCTGGTTGCCACACTTCAGGAAAGATGTGGATAAATTGGAGAGAATCCAGAGGAGAGCAACAAAAAGGAGGATATAAGGTTTAGAAAACCTGACCTATGAGGAAAGGTTAAAAAAAAAAATTGGAGATGATTAACCTTGAGAAAAGAAGACTGAAGGGGGACCCCATAGCAATCAGTCTTCAAATATGTTACAACACTGGCAGACCAGATGCCAGCTCTTGCCTAAGTCCTTTGGGCATTAGCTAAGAGCTGATGGTGTCACAGTTGGAGACCAGACCAGGTTACCTGTGTGTTCATTTTGCTCAAAATAGATATTAGTCTTATAAGAATGTATTTAGAGTCTATGAAATGCTTGTACGTTGCTGTGTGCATTAATCTCACTTATAATAGCTACATTCCCTGTTATAAGGTAATAGTTACAGAGCAAACACTTAACTATCAACCCCCACATTCAAGAGAGAGACATTACTCAGTGTGAAACACGGGAGGTATTACCTCCTGCCCAGCAAAAGAAGGCCCATAGACACCAGACAAACCATTGTGGAACATCAGAGGACAAAAGACCTTGTTGATTGCTTCCCCCCATACCCGCATGAAGAGGAGATGTGCACATGAACTTGTCCATCTTGAATTCTGGGGGGAAAGGAATAAAAATCCATGACAAGAAACCTCATCTTTTTGGCTGTTTGGCCAAAGACACTAAACTGAAACCAGAGATCCTCAGGGGCTGCCTCCTGCGGCTGCCCTGAGAGACACTTTGAACTGACAGATCACTACAACTCTGTCGCTCTTAGGATTTAGATGATAACTTATTTGTGTGTATATGTTTGCTTGCTTTAATTGGTAAATAACTGTCTTATTTCTTTTTCCTAGTGAATAAACCTGTGGATAGTTTATTACAGGATTGGCTACAAACATTGTCTTTGGCATAAGATCTAGGGTACCAACTGATTTGGGGGGTAAGTGACTGGAAGCCACCTGAGTGTGTGGTGGTTTTTTTTTTTGTGTGTGTCGGGGGGTGGTAAGTGACCATTTATCACTAAGTCCAGTTTGTCTGGGTGGCAGGATAAACTGGAGAGTCTCAGGGTACTGTCTGTGACTCCATGGTAAGACTGTTATAGTGATCCAGGAGTCCACGTTTGTTATTGGCTTGGTGAAATCTAATTATAGAACATACCATCAGCTTGGGGTGTCTGCCCTGTTACTGACAATCTGCCCTCAGGTAGGCACTCACAGTCGTGAGCCACTCCAGACAGTGTGACATGTTAAAGTCTGTTTTAAAGAGGACAGTGTTCAATATATTTTCCATGTCCACTGAAGGTAAAACAAGAAATAAAGGGCTTAATCTGCAGCAGGGGAGGTCTAGGTTAGATATTAGGGAAACCTTTCTAGCTATAAGGATAGTTGAGTTCTGGAATAAGCTTCCAAAGGAGGTTGTGGAATCACCATTATTTGAAGGTTTCTAAGAACAGGTTGGACAAACCTGTCAAGGATGGTCTAGATTACTTGGTCCTGCCTCAACACAGGGGACTGGACTAGATGACTCTTGAGGTCCCTTCCAGCCTTACATTTCTATGATTCTATAAGCTCCCTTCTGTGGAGATATCTTTAGCAGGGTCTATGTGTCATCTTTTCACTTAGCACTATCTCATGGCCCACAACTCATTAAGTTGATCTTCCTGAGTGGGTGCCACGTGGCTTTCAGTTTCTGGTTCACCCTTTCCCCCCCATCTTTATCCTCCTGGTAGACAACTCCATAAAAACAATGCAGCATCTGGTGAGAAGCAAGCAACCTCCTCCAAGGCTGCAGGGTCCGCTTAATTGGGATTCAGTTTCTCTATCTTAGAGCATGGCTACGCTTGCAGATGTAGAGCTCTTTGAGTTAAACCAGCCTTGGTAGAGCGCAGTAGAGAAAGCGCTGCAGTCTGTCTACACTGACCGCTTCAAGTGCACTGGCGTGGCCACATTTGCAGTACTTGCAGCAGCATTGGGAGCGGTGCATTATGGGCAGCTATCCCAGCATGCAAGTGACTGCGATGTGCTTCCCAAATGGGGGTGGGGTGGAGTGTGACAGGGAGTGTGTTGTGTGTATGTGGGGGGAGAGAGTGTTTTTTTGGGGAGCTGAGAGCATGTCAGCCTGCTGTCTTGTAAGTTAAGACAGCAGCAGACTCCCCTCGTCCTCCCCACCCCCCCTCACACACACACAGCATTCCACACTAATGGTTGCTTTGTCTCGGAGCAGATAAGCAGCTGGCTGTCAGAAACGGAGCTTTCAAAGGACATTTCCGCATTCCTGTAGCCGATTCCAAACAATGACAAGGGTGGTCACTTGACTTAAGGGGATTATGGGATGTTTGCGGAGGCTGATCAGAGCGCAGTAAAGCAACACCTCGTTCACACTGGTGCTGCGGTGCTCCAGCAGGGGCGCAGCAAACGTTATTCCACTCACCAAGGTGGAGTACGAGCAGCACTGTAGCTGCAGAGTCAGCGCTCTCCATGCCTTTGTCAGTGTGGATGGGTAGTGAGCTAGTGCACCTGGGGCTCCTTTATTGCGCTGTAACTCGCAAGTGTAGCCAAGCCCTTGGGTACTTACCATTGTATCTGAGCACCTCACGATCTTTAATGCTTGCCTGCAAACCCCTGTGAAGTAGGGCAGGGCTGTTATCCCATTTTACAGATGGAAAACTGAGCCACAGAGAGGCCCAAGGTCACAAAAGAAGTGGGGCAGGGAATTGAACCCTGGTTTCCCAAGTCCTAGGCTGGTGCCCTCATCATTGAACCATCCTTAGTGAGTGTTTATATATTGTCTTTCTCTGGAACATTGCCTCAGTGATTATGCCCCACCCGCATCTGTTAGCCCAAGGAAGGTGTCCTGAAGCTGTGCCTAGCTTACCATGCTATCCAAAATCTAAGGTCTTCCACTGCCAGGAGTCCACCTTCTAGATGAAAATTTTGTCTTTCATAAGCTTTGGTTGAGTATCTCCAGGCCCTTTGCAAATATTAGCTAAACCTCACACCATCACTGAGTTAGTGTTGTCATTTTGCAGTTGGGGAAATTGAGGTACAGATCAGCTAAGTGACTTGCCCATGGTGTCTCAGCCTGTGGCAGAGTTGGGAAAAGAACCCACGTCTCCTGTCTCCCAGGGTTCTGTTTTAACTGCAAGACCATGTAGCCTTGCTAGAAATGACCATGGAATCTGAAAAATCAAACATCTGACTTAGAGGATATTTCTCACAAGTCTTCAGTAACAACAGCCACGTCACATTTATAGCAAGCAAGCACAACTTCCCTAGTGCTAAGATCAGAATATCTGCAGAGAGAGAAAATGGAAAAATCCACACCCCTGAGCGACGTAGTTAAACCGATCTAATCCCCGGTGTAGACAGTGCTAGGTAGATGGAAGAATTCCTGTGCAAATGGGAGACCTCTCCTGTCAGTGTAGGTAGTGTCTACACTTTACAGTGAAGGACGACAGTGGTGTGGCTGCAGCATTTCAAGTGTAAACAAGCCAACTGCGGCATGAACTCGGCCTTGTCCTTCCTGCTTGTTTCATGGGATACATTTTATTGCAGTAAACAGTAACCTATTAAACTGTATCTGATCTGCATCTGATGAAGTGAGCTGTAGCTCACGAAAGCTCATGCTCAAATAAATTGGTTAGTCTCTAAGGTGCCACAAGTACTCCTTTTCTTCTATTAAACTGTACATTCCAGCAGAAGAAAATAGGAAGAGAAGCACTTTGTATATGCAGTGATGAATTTTCTAATGCTTTGCAGAATTGCTGCATTTGGAGTTTATCTAAAATAGGAATATTTATCTTATTTCAGTCAATAATATGTTAAACCACAAAACAATGTAACAAGCCCATCATAGATTACTGCTGGACAGACTATTAGACTACATTAGTTATAGTGCTATGGACGATTGTTATTTGGGGTTTATGAAAATTTAGACTAGAGATTAGATCCAGGTATTGGGCCATATCCATTTGCCACTGAAATCAAGGAGAGACTTTCCACTGAATTTGTGGAGCATTTGATTGGGCCCACTGTGAGATGTGCACATTTCTTTGCCAACGTGTCTCAGTTCTGGCCTTCAGCACCCCTGCCATTCTAGCTTTGGAGCTGTTCTAGAGCAGAGACTTGTAAGGGATAGAAGAATTAAGATTTGGGTTCTGCTGTTCATTTTAAGTGAGTTAATTATATCCACTATAACACCCAGAGTATACTGAAGCCTGCCCTTTGTGTTCTGAATCCGCCTCACTGTCAGTGCAGGGCAAGACAGCAAGTAATTGTGGGGATATTAATTTCTCAATGATTAATGCTACAGCCTAGTGTGCGTTGTGCTCTGGGTCTCCATGTTATTCTTAGAAAAATGTCTGAAGAAACAAATACGGTGCAAAGTATAACGCGTGTCTGAGCTTTCCTTGTGTGCTCTCGTTTAGCAGTATCAAGGCTGGGATTTGGTTTCTGTTTAAGGTTTTAGTTTTAAGTGTTGATTAAAGAGCTGCAGCCTAATTTGCTGTTTAATTTTTAATTTTTTTTAAGCAGGCTTGTTTTAAATGTTCAAGTTCACCATCTCCTGCTAACTCTGCTCTGGCATTGCCAGTGCTGAAGACAAACAGTGCATGATCAAAGCAGCCCACCTGGAGGCACAAGGTCCTTCTGAGTGCTCCTCCCACGGTGTAACCCTTTGAGGGATGCTGGGGGAGAATCAGCCTTTGTTTTCTTTGGGAATTTATTTGCAGTTTTTCCTGATCTCTCTCATTGTGGAGTTGGGTGGGAAAAACTAATCTGATTTTCTAGCTGAGGAGCAGGTGAACCCTAACAGCAGCATGCTGTTTGTTTCGTGCTTGTAATTTATTTCCCTGGGAATGTTGCCTTGGATGCAGCATCTGGTTTTCAGTGAGGTTTCTACTGCTCATTTAGTTTTCCAGCTGCGTTAACTGAGGCACATGGAAGGTCAAGTGACTTGCCCAAGGTCACTTGATAGAATGAGTGGCTCAGCGGTGACTGGAACCCAAGATCTTCCTGCAGAGAAATGCAGGCTGTAGATCAGGGATGGGAAGCATCATCTGTCTGACTCAGATGGATTTGCCAAGGTGAATGTCGTTATTTTTCTATGCAGGCAGCCCTTTTTGTTTGTTTGTGTTTCGTTTGTAAGTACTGCTTTTGTCCTGCTCTGCCAGCGGGTCTCTCCAGCCCTGCACCAAAGAAGCTTGCCACCCTGGCAGCAGCAATATTTCTACAGCTGGAAGCTGGCGGCAGAGTGTGAGTGGCAAATTCTTTTTGGGAAGAGGGTGCCAGTGTAGATTTGGCTCTTTCAGCATGGTGTGGCTCTGCTCCTGGAGGATAATGCTAAATACATACAGCCTGTGCCCAGGAAAATACAGTAGAGTAGCTCAGAAATATAACTGACCTTTCATTAGAGCTAACTGGATTTCTAACCATTTCCACTGCACATGCAAACTGTAGTCACACCCTTTTGCTGTCTTGCCCAGTATCTGGTGGTAACAAGTGTTGGTTTGTGAGCAGGTACTCTCAATGGGTGAGAGAAAGGGAGTGTGCGACACAGCCAGGGTGATGTCCAGTTCAGCTGTCAGTTATTTATTCTTTTCCTCGCTTCCCAGCATACTCCCCAGTCTGCAGAACATGTTTTAGTTTTATCCTTGGTAAAATATATTTAATGTCTTTAGTTCCTTTGATCTTCAAGGGTTCCAAAGAGCTTTACAAGGTACACATTCCTGAAAAGAGACCTGTAAAAGAAACTCAAAATTGGGTCTGTGTCCTGTTCTTTTTGTTGGAGGAAGTGTGGGAGGATTCTGCTTGTTGAGCAGTATCAGGAATCTTGAGCCTTTTGCTCTCTGCTGTGCTGGAGATCTTGTTAGGGCCCAGAGATGTACACTGGAAGCATTCTCAGTCCTTAATGGAAGGGCCTGGGATGCTAAATCTGTAACAG